TCGGCATTATCCCAATATGGAATTGCACTTCGAGTGAAGTTTACAACTTTATTGGGTATACTGGTCCAAATTTCTTCAGGTACGGTGAGTCCTTTATCAAGAAATCTGCATCGTTTATTAAATAAAGCAGTGCAATCACACAATAAATGTTCAGAGCTTTCGCTCTCCAAATAACAAAAGCGACATCTATCGTCGCTAAGCTTTCCAATTTTTTTTAAAATGATATTTACTAGGACAATGTCCTGTTATTAATCCAGTGTAGGTGCTTAAATCTTTTTTGGAAAGATTGAGTAACCTTTGCGTACTCAAAACGTTGGGCTTAATGAATTGTTTAGATTGCCGGGCTGTTGAGGTATTATTCCAATTGGATTGTACCTTGCGTTTTTTCCAGTTCTTTAAATCCATTTTCAGATTAGAAGGCGATAGACCAATAAATGGTTCGGGACCAATAAATTTCTGGGATGAGCCAAGCTTTGCTAATTGATCAGCTTTTTCATTTCCTTCAATGCCGCAATGACCAGGAACCCAATATAGATTTACCTTGTTACGACAGGACAATTTCTGAAGTTGATTATAGCATTCCCACACTAACTTTGAAGTGTAGATCATTGATTTAAGGGCATTCAATGCTGCTTGACTGTCCGAAAAAATGCATATGTTTGCATTCCTATAATTTCTTTTTAAACATATTTCTACACATTCTAGAATCGCAAATATTTCTGCTTGGAATACTGTTGGCCATTTACCCATTGCTACAGAACAGTTAATTCCGGGACCTGTTATTCCTGCCCCTACCCTGTTATCCTGTTTTGAGCCATCCGTGTAGAATGTTATAGACCCAGGACGAATCAACGGCCCTCCAGTCTCCCAATCATTGCGTGTTGTATTAAACACATTAAATAGATGGTTGAATTCATGAGTTTTTGCCATAAAATCTTCATTCTTTAAAATTAGTGGACTTAATTGAATCTCTTTCAAGATGCTCATATGATTTTTAAGATCTCCTTCAAAGAACTCTTTTGTTCGTCTGAGTCTGAGAGCATTCTTCATTGCATCCAGTTGAATGAATTGATGTAAAGGAAGAAGATTAAGCAAAGCTTCTAAGGCTTTAGATGGAGTACTGCGCATTGCTCCAGTTATGGAGGTAGTGGCCAACCTCTGCAGTTTTTCAAGTCTTTGTTGAGCTGTTTTTTGCACTGTTTTTGGCCACCAAACTAGTGATGCATAAATTATTCTTGGTTTTACTATAGCCGAATAAATCCAATGTAACATTTTAGGTTTGAGTCCCCATTTCTTACCAAACGTCCTTTTACTAATCCAAAGAGCATTGGTTGCTTTTTTTATTACTTGTTCTAAATGTACATTCCAATAGAGCTTGCTATCTAAAGTTACTCCTAAATATTTTACTTCCGAAGAATATTTTAATTCTGTTCCTTCCAAAGAAAGTTTTGAAAATAAGACTTTTCGTCTTTTTGTAAAGGGTACAATCGTTGTTTTTGAAGCATTTATTTTCAATCCTTCATTCTTGCACCACAGTGTAGCTACATTTAATGCCGTCTGCATTCTGCTTGATATGATTTCATCAAATTTTCCGCGGACTATTATCACTATATCATCCGCAAACCCAATAATTTCAAACCCTAGCGATTCAAGACTAATAAGAAGCTCGTCTACTACTAGCGACCATAGGAGAGGAGAGAGGACGCCTCCTTGAGGACAGCCTTTAGCAGCTGTTACCTTTATGGTTGACTCTCCAAGATTTGATGTTATTTCACGATTCGATAACATTTCTACTATCCAATATATTACGCTTTCATTAAACCCACGTCTTTTCATGGCAGTTTCCATTGATTTAAAAGATGCATTATCAAATGCTCCTTCAATATCAAGAAAGGCAGCCATTAATACCTCCTTTGCTTCGAACGATTTTTCGATTTTTGAGACAAGAGTGTGTAATGCTGTAATTGTTGATTTGCCTGGTTGATAAGCAAATTGAGCTTTACTCATTGGTATTTTTGGAAGAATTTCAGATTTGATATGTTCATCTATTATCTTCTCCATTAATTTAAGGAAAATTGACGACAAACTGATAGGTCTGAATGATTTGGGAGAAGACTTGTCTTTTTTATTAGCCTTTGGTATAAATACTACTCGAACTTGTCGCCACGTTGTAGGAATGTATCTAAGCAAAAAGCTTGCTTTAAGTAAACTTACTAAGGCCGGAATCAATACTGTTTTACACTTTTGAATTAAAATTGGATAAATTCCATCCAAACCTGGAGATTTGAATGCTTCAAAAGAGTCTATAGCCCATGCAACTTTAGAATTAGTAAACATTACACTAGCTAGATTGTTTGCCTCTTCATTGGACTGTCTTGATCCATTTACTGAGTCATGACCTCTAGCGAAATTTACAACAGATATAGTGGAAGTAGTAGGCAAATACCCTGGGAAGTGAGATTGCATCATTACTTCCAATGTTTCTTTAGTAGTTAAGGTAAAAGAACCGTCCTCTTTTTTAAGGGCTCCTAAGCCGTTTGCATGATCCTTAGAAAGGACTTTTTGAAGTCTTGCGGTAACAGGAGTACTTTCAATGTTTTCACACATATGTCTCCAATCTTTACGTTTGGATCTTCTAATTTCTTTGTTATAGTCAGTCAAATCCTCTTTATAGGTAGACCAATTTCCTATTATTTTAGCTCGGTTAAATAGTTTACGAGCCTTTTTCCTTAGCTTTTCTAATCTGTCATTCCACCAGGATACATCTCTATTAGTAGAGCGTTCCTTTATAGAACAACTTGCATAATAAGCTTGTTTAATTTGTGTTACTAGGCATTCAGATGCCTTTTCCAACTTATCATTGGTGCTTATATCCATAGAAACATCCCATTGTACGGAGAGATTGGAGTTGTACAGCTCCCAATTTGTTTTCCTAGGATTACGATAGGTTTCCTTGATTATATCACTTGCTTTATATTCAAATAGAATTTGTCTATGATCAGATAATGAAATTTCATCTGATACATGCCAGTTTATTACCCGATCTGAGAGAGCAGAGCTACATAGCGTTAAATCCAAAACTTCCTTCTCTTATTCCATGACAGTTGTTTGAAATTATCTTTGAAATTCAATTGCCACGGAATTACCATGAAATGCTCCTCAGTAAGAAATTGAATTTATTCTTAACATTTTCAATAAATTCAACTCAGAATGTCATTTGATTTCTACTCCTTTCTTTGGAATTCTACTCACGTTGAATGTTTGCTACGAATTCGCTAGCAGTTAACTAGACAAAATCCATAGATTTCTCATTAAAAATTACTTGGTATTCAAGTCACAGCTCGTCTGGAATTGTTTTCCGAGTTCCTTTGAAGTTCTCCTGGAACTATTTTCAGATTTAAGTTAATCTTTTTTAGCAAATAGGGGAAATGGCTCTAATGTTGGCCTATGGATCTAAGATCGGGCCCAGCGCTAAAAATCAACTATTTTTCAATTTTATCTAGATGAACGCGTCATTGGTGCGGTACTAATGGATATTTTTGGTCGCTATTGTAAATTTAGTCGGGCTATTGTAAATTTAGTATGAGCCCAGATTAGGGGCATTTAGGCCGACATTACATCCAATTCCCCTATTCAGGTTTCATATAGAATCTGGAGTTAGTTTAGTCCAGAAAATTTCCCTAGCGAACAATTATGCGAAGTATCATGGTATTCTAAGATGATGATGATAGACTACCACCTAATGTAACAAGGCGCCTGCGCGTATCAATGGACTGTTCATACTACATGACTGGATCAAGATTTGTTTTCTTATCATACTCATCATACTGATGAAGTATGAAGGGCCAAAAACGGTGGGACGGGGACCCGTAAGCAGAGACGCTTACGCGAAAACCGCGGCAGTGATAAAGAATCTCCTTCCAGAAGTAAGTTCATACAACCAGAAACCAAATCAAGCCATCGTGTGGCAGAACGTCTCAATAGATGGGGAGAAGAGTCTGCCCTCTATTCACGAAACGCCAGAATTATGCGAAGTTTCTTGGAATGCTGAGAGGCACAATCTAAAATTCGTTTATTAGAGATCAATATTTTTTTATAATAATGCCTGTAGACATTGAGCAGTTAGTGCATTGGTGATTTTAGCCAATAGAGTTCTCCAGATGCACAAAAGTGTGCGTGAGACCGCGCGCTACCTTTTTAAGTAGTGGTTATATCGCGATACCATTTTTGTTCTTCTTCTTCTTCATTTTTATATATGGATGTTGGATTTTAGTGTTCGTGAGATTGCGCTTGGAGATCTCTATAGCATCGCTAAACGTTTAAAAAATTAGCGTATACGCTAAACTGCTAACGAAAATTAAGCTCGGTGTAATTAGCGATGCCGCTGCTAAACGACGCACATAGGAGTATTTGACCCAAACAGTTGGCCAAAACTACAAACTGATGTTTTTTTTTAATTAAAATTGATTCAATGTTTACTAGTAATGCGTTTTTTTTTTGTTGAATTCTATAAAAAAGTTAACAATTATAATCCACCTACAAGTGCAATTCGAATTTTTCTCTATTTGTTAAATTTATCTAATTAAATATACTCAAAAACGACTTTCTATCCTCTGAAAAAAATAATAGCAAAGAGGACCCAGGAGGAACATTTGCATCTGCCACAATTTTCCAAAGGTTTCAATCTTGCTTTTTGGTTAATTAAAACTAACCGGAATCTAACTTAATCGATAATTTAATGTTACATATTTTTGGTTCTATTTTCATTGTCATTTTGCGTGACAATATAAGCTTCTAATAATGACAGTTCTGTGGGTTTGGAAAACCATTCATTAGGTCCTGAATAGTATTTATATTATGGCTGCAATATGTTGCTACAAAAACGACAAAAAATCAAGAGCTTCATACATTACGGATTTCGAACATTTGGCCAACTTGTAGGGTGGAATACTCCTATGTGCGACGTAAGCTAAAATAACGGGGCTTCCACGATGACTCACCATCCAAAATCCTGCGGCAGCGAGGTCAGCGACATATCGTTCAGCCCCAGAATGGTCAGACTCCGCAGCTGCGAGAACCCCGCCGGTAGCCGGTGGATCGGGTTCGAGCTGAAGTCCACGATCTGCAGGCTGCGCAGGTGTTTGATGTCATCCGGAATGTCAACGATATCTGCAAAGAAGAAATACGAGCCGACATTAATTATAAACACGTCATTTCAAGGGCTTCAAGATCTGGATAAACACGAAAATTAACACTGCTCCGTGATTTGCATTGGAACGTCACCTTGACCGCAACGACGACGTATGGAGGAGAGGTGCGATTTTTCCGCCGCCGTCATCGTCGCAAACTCGCAAACCAGTTCGAAGAAAGAGCGCGATTAATTAGACTGCTCCCATTAGCACTCGTTGATGGGTCCCGCATGATGCATTGTGTGGCGGAACTGCATACGGGATTCAAGGTGAACAAAACAACCGACCGACCTAGATACCAGCTGAGAAGTGGCGGATCCGAATAAGCCGGGAGGGCAATTTATTGTTGAGACCATGCTGGGTGGCCCACAAGGTCATTATTCTCTGGCGAAGCCAAATTTGAACAAGCGAACAGTGTTTTTCCATTAATATGAACAATAGAGACGTCCAGTGTTTCCCTCAGAAGTGTGTAGCAGTCTATAGACAGTCACAAAGAGATTCGTCCGTCACTTAATGATGATAGCAACACCATATCGTAATGCGACGAAACTACGGGCCACGAGAAGGACGGAAAACGGTCTCCAGAGTGAACGAAAATAGATTTTAGCTAGCAGCCATCTGCCAGCTAGATAATGGTTCTCTATTGCCAGAGGTGGTACCACCATCATAATGGTCTCGAATGAATAAACCTTGTGTGCCACCACCGGCCTCAGCCCCACCGGTTCGGATCGGGTATGGGACGGAACGACAATTTGACCGAGAGATAGAAAGAGTGCTTTCCGTCCGAGTTTCAGCTCGTTTCGCCGGATCTCCGGGAAGAGCCGGTTAGGTTCATTTTGCTTCCCGCACTGGCTCTGGTGTAGAAAAATAGAATAAAATAAAAAGCTAAAAGTGGAAAATAAGAGCACCGCTTTGCCAAAAGCAACAACACTTACACTCACTCATCCAGCAGCTCTAACTAGTGAAACAATGAGACTCTAAATAAAGCAGAGAACCCTCATACATTTATGATCACACACAGTTCCAGTGCATAACTTCACGAACGAAACCACTTGGTCCGGTTCAAAAAAAAAAGAAAAAAGAAAAACCGGCACAACAAGCGAGTCAAAAATGTACCGTTCAGTTTTTGTTTGTGCCACTCTTCTATTTAGATGGAATACGGACCGATGCAGATATATATATACATATATTTAGAAAACTCTGCGACTCAGTGGTGCATACTAATCCAGAACTGGAACCACCACCGACCGCCCCATCACAGTCATCAGTACACTGCCAAATGGAAATGGGAGTGCAAAACGAAAATAATAATGTATTTATTGTTATTATGCCACGGCAACTCTCATTTCATGCTTCCCCGAATCGCTCCTCCGAATGGCATCTAAATGTGCAGCCGGGTTTGAACTGTTTTACGGTCACTCACCACCACTTTGTGTGACGCTGCTACAGTTGCCGCCGACAAACACATCAAAGAATCCAGAATCCGATTCAGAGCGTTAGGATCAACAAAGGCCTGGGTTGTTCTCCTCTGTAAATATGTGCCTGCTGGAGCCCTTTATTGAGTTAATAAAGCAACTCACTTGGATATTCTAATGAGCAACAAATTGGACGATTTAAATGGAATCCATCACGGACTTTCTAAGGAAACCAAATTGCATTTCTCACCTAATACCGTTCCCACTAGTATAGTAGTAAAGCGTACCATCATCATTGCCTGTCAAAAAGCGACAGAACGCAAATGAAATATTCAATAATAAATCAATGAATAAATCATTACTAAATGAAGCACAAGCACATGTGAAAGGCAGTATATAAATGTTCCCAGCTTTTCCAATTACCGTAGAACTCCGTCTTTGACTAGCGAAAATTGCAAATCACGGCGCTCATTTCGAATTTGTTCGTCTGGTAAGCCCAATGACGTCACGCACCTGTGTAGGGGTACCGGTTCAAGGCTGGTAGTGGGTATGTAACATAATAGTGACTTTAGTGACTAAAACAACGGGATTAGTGACCAAATAGTGACATTTAACTATTGGTCGAAAAACATGGTTCCAGTCTATCGTTGATTGCGACCCGCTTCGAGAAATACAGGGCTGTTGCAAGACTTTAAAATTTCATTCGCGAAATCCACGATTTCTCAAAAGAAATCCGCGTCTTCAAATACTAATCCGCAACGAATAAAAATCTGTTTTAATTGCTTAAAAATACCATTTGCATGTGCCAATAATAGGACACCCGGTTAACACGTAAATCAAATGGAAAGCCTGCTGAAGAAAAAGAAGCTGCCAACAATTGTCACACTCACCTGGGAAGTTTAGAGCGTTGTAAAAACGATTATAGACAATTTTGGACTATCAGGCCGATTGGAATACATAAGCAAGACGAGATGTTGAACAATGCGATTCTGGGAGATCGAGATCAGTTGATTTGTTCTACAAGATCAACCAAGACTGGGACAATGTTTGTAGTATCAAAGTATATCAAAACAGATTCACAGTGTATATGTGGATCATGCACGACCTATTGCCATGTATGCCAGATGCTCTAGGTTCTCCAAATCGTCCTGGAGGTTAGATGATTTATTCTTACTTACTTACTTATCCTGGTCCGACATCCCTCAGGATTGCACCTGCATCACAATGTTATACCAATTCACTCGGTCCGTGGCTGCTTGTCTCCAATTTCTAGACCGTCCCACACTTCCAAGATCCTGCTCCACTTGGTCTAACCACCTTGCTCGCTGTGCTCCTCTTCGTCTTGTACCGGCCGGATTCGAGGCAAACACCATTTTTACGGGATTGAGTTGCGCCAGCTCGTGGTTCATTCTTCGCCTCCATAAACCGTTCTCACATACCCCGCCAAAGATGGGCCTAGGCACTCGTCGTTCGAAAACACCCAGTGCTTGAAGGTCCTCCTCGAGCATCGTCCACGTCTCGTGCCCGTAGAGAACTACCGGTCTTATCAGCCTCTTGTACATGGTAAATTTAGTACGGAGGTGAAGTTTACCCGACCTCAGGGTCTTGTGGAGTCCGTAGTAAGCACGACTTCCGGCAATAAAACGCCGACGAATTTCTCTGCTGCAGTTGTTATCCGACGTCACCAATGATCCGAGGTACACAAATTCATCCCCCAACTCGAACTTATCTCCGCCGATTGTCACGCTTCTGCCTATGCAAGCCCTATCCCGCTTGGTTCTTCCAGCTAACAGATACTTTGTCTTCGACGTATTCACCTTTAATCCAACCTTCTCTGCTTCACGTTTCAGCCTGATGTACTGCTCCGCCACGGCCTGAAACGTTCTTCCGACAATGTACACGTCGTCAGCGAAGCAGATGAACTGGCTGGACTTATTGAAGATCGTACCCCGCATGTTAAAGCCCGCCCGTTTCATAACACTTTCTAGCGCAATGTTGAACAGGAGGCAGGAAAGACAAACGAGTCCGATAACGCACCCGATATCTTCACGCAGCACTGTACACCTTCCATCGTAGCCCTGATCAGTCTAGTCAGCTTCCCGGGAAAACCGTTCTCGTCCATAATCTTCCATAGCTCTTCACGGTCAATAGTATCATAAGCGGCCTTGAAATCGATGAATAGGTGGTGCCGTAGGGACTTGATATTCACTACACTTTTGAAGGTTCTGCCGCAAGGTAAAGATTTGGTCCGTTGTCGATCGCCGTCCACAAAACTGGCTTGATAACTTCCCACAAAACTGCTTACTAGCGGCGATAAACGGCGAACGATGATTCTAGTTTGTCGTCTTTTTTAATATACTGGGCATATTACTCCCTCTTTCCACTCCTCCGGTAGCTGTATCTGTATACCAGATCCTGACTATCAGTCGGTGCAGACAAGTGGCCAACTTATCCGGGCCCATTTTGATAAGTTCCGCTCCGATACCATCTTTCTCAGCTGTTTTGTTGCTCTCAAGCTGTCGGATAGCATCCTTAACTTCACTTATCGTGGGAGCTGGCATGTCCCCCTCATCCACTGTACCGACGAAGCCTTGGTCCTCCGCCTCTGCGCCTTTCAGATGTTCATCGTAGTGCTGCTTCCACCTTTCAATCACCTCACGTTCGTCCGTTAAGATACCCCCTTCCTCATCCCGACACATTTCGGCTCGCGGCACAAAGCCTTGGCGGGATGCGTTGAGTTTCTTGTAGAACTTGCGTGTTTCTTGAGAACGATACAGCTGCTCCATTTCTTCGCACTCCAGCTCTTCCAGGTGGCGCTTCTTATCCCTGAAAAGATGGGTTTGCTGTCTTCGCTTCTGTTTATATCGCTCCACATTATGACGGGTTCCCTGCTGCAGCATCGCCGCCCGCGCTGCGTTCTTCTCGTCCAAAACCGTCTGACACTCTTCATCGAACCAATCGTTCCGTCGAATTACGGTCCACGAACCCAACGGCGCCTTCAGCAGCGCTGTCCGGCAACGCTGCGTCGAGGCATTGCACGTACTTAGTTGCGACTTCGGGCAGTTTCAGTCGCTCCAGATTGTACCGTGGTGGGCGTCGGTACCGAATGTTGTTGGCAACGGAAAGTTTTTGGCGCACCTTGACCATTAGAAGGTAGTGGTCCGAATCGATATTTGCGCCGCGATATGTCCAGATGTCGATAATGTCCGTCGATCAAAACTTAGTCGATTTGCGATTCTGTCTGCTGTGGTGATCTCCAGGTGTACCGATATGGGAGGTTATGCTGGAAGTAGGTACTACGTAAAGGGTGATACGGTCAAAATTTGTCAATATCAACTTGACGTATTTCTTTCAATTTTGCATTTAAAAAACCTGAACACCCCTCATTTTGAAGGTGTGTGTGTGTAGAATGTTGCTCCTATTTTTAATTTGGAATTCACTCTTCAGTTGTCAAAATGCCGTCCAAGCAAGAAGAGCAGCGTATCAAAATTTTGCTCGCGCATCGCGAAAATCCGAGCTACTCGCACGCAAAGTTGGCAAAATCGCTAAAAGTTGCCAAATCAAC